TCATTTGAGCTAAAAGAGACGGAGTTTTTGATGAGTTCCTACTGGATAGTCTTGGACTGACTTTCATTCCTGATCTGTTCTCAAAATCAGATCTGCTTTCCTTACTGAAGCACCTTCTCTTGGTCTCTCCTATTGTTTCCTCTACTGGTCCTACTCGTTATTTCCTACCAATCGTTCTTTCTCCGGAAAAAATCACCAAAGAACAGAAGGAGACCTTCACTGAAACCTGTGACCCACTTGTCATTTCATTCAACAGTAAACTAGTACTACAGGTAATACACTGACAGTGTGTGTGTATTGTTTCATCTGTTTCTCTTTGTTTTTCATTTTAGGGTTTGTTTCCAACATTGATTGTTTCTCTGTTAAGTCGAAAGGAGAGTCCTCACTTTTTTATTGACAGTAAGTCTCCTTTCTTTCCAAAGCAGCTCCGACATGCTGTCAAGCTTTACTCTGAGGATCTATTTGGGTCTGTCATATTTGTTGATGAGCATAAATTTATTGAAGTCTACTTTACGGGAAACCCTAAAGATTGCTCTGTTCTTCGTCCAGTGATCCTAGAGGGTCTATCAGCCAGTGCTGCTGCATTAGCTTACAATGAGGAGACACTGGGAATATCTGCTGTGACATATTGTCCCCAGAAACACAGAAGCCGTGAGACTGAGAGAAATCCTCATCCTATTGAAATCTCATACAAGAGAGACCCTCCAGAGATCAGGTGCAGTATTGAGACTGATCTTCCACCCATTGCATTGACTGATGAGAGACAAAGCTGTTGGCTATTAGGTAAGTTATTTAGCATACACCATGCACTGTATTATTTGTATTGTTTCTTGTGTATGTTTATTTTTATTTGTGATTGTCTTTTACAGATCCAGTGCCTCCATCAGTTGTTCCTATTGAAACCTTTTTACCAGAAGGTTCAGTATTAAGTGAGTGAATGTGTTAGCATTATTATTAATAGATAATGTGTATTTTTGTTTACAGATGAGTTTCATGCTCCAGTTATATTGAAAGCTGTCAAAAAGATAGTCAATGAATGGGACACACTAGGATTATACCTTGGAGTGCAAAATGAAGATTTATTATCAATTGATTTTAATTCTTTACATCAAATAAATGTATGCCGCAAAAACATGATAGTTCACTGGTTAAAGACTGGTACTGCTACAAGGGAAAAGCTGATAAAAGCACTTGAGGATTTGGAAAGAAATGATGTTGCTGCTGAAGTAAAGCGACTACCCTACCAATAACCATTATTATTAGTATTATTATTAATTTCTTCTGCTTTCTCTTACACACACTTCCTTCTCTATTTCCCTCTGTTTATTACTTTTAGTAGATCTACTATTTGTGTTAGATCTATATTTTTGTCAATTCTTTCTAGTTTGAAGTTTCCATTAAATTTTTATAATACTAATAGTCAAATCATGCGTTTGCCCCATTAGATACATACAGTGCAGCAACTTTAATCATTAGATCTACCCATGTGTATACATGTGGTGTATCTAGGAGTGTAAAGGGTCAATCCTGTGAGGAGGTCCTTCTTCAACAACCCGTTAGTCATATCAATCTCACTGACTGGACCACTTGTGAGACAGTAGACAATGTGATGACTTCTAGTATAACATTAATAGATTGATACTTTTATCTTGTGTATTCATCAATGGATCTGGTGTAATGTATCAGATAATGTAGGATATGGTATGCATTCACCACCAGTCCTATATAATGACTATCACTCACTTCTCATCAATACTACAATCATTCTATGTATCATTGTTGTTAATCTATTAGCTGCAAAAAGAGCATTAACTGCAAGACAATTTCAATACCTTGTTACCACCTCAAGGTGTTAATTACAGTGTGAGCAAGATAAGGAAGTATTGGAATAAAGTTACAGCTGTGTTTGTAAAAAAATATTAATTAAGAACAAATACAACTACGACCAATACTACAAAATAATAGTAATAATAATAATAAATAAAATCAAATAATAATATTGTCCATTAATAAAGTCCTCATCAGAGCCTAAATGAACTTACCATAGCAACAACAGCGTCACCCCATTCAAGAAACATCTACAATAATAATAAAGTTATTAAAAAGAGGGAAATCCAATTTTGATCAGAATGAGCTCAAACTTTATACAGAACTTAAGAACATGTATACATGTACATGCATGTATCGGGGGAAATTGTATAAAAAGGAACATCTTTTGTTTTTATTTTGGAAAAAATTGTTTATGATCATACTGGGACTTTGGACTGATTTTTAAGTAAATAATAGCTTCAAAACCACCCAAGATTTTATTACATTTTCTAACACAAATATTGATGTCCTTTTGCATAAAAATTTTAAAGCAATCCCAAAAAATATTTTTAAAAGGTAACTAGCACTTTATTAAACAATAAATATTTGATAAAATACCACAGGCTCTAGCTTATGGCTTCTTCCAAAAATTATATCTAAAGTCACCCCAAATTATTCGATACATTTTGATGCCCTTATGCTATGTAGAAAGTTTGAGCTGATTTCGTCAAATATCTTTACCTTGCAACTGGTTGAATATTGAGTGCTTGAGTTTACCAACTGACTCAGGATAGACCCGTCCCAATAGCTCAATAGTCATAGACCAGACACCCAGTAAGACACACACTGCCAGGGAATGACTGGCCTCACAAGATACCACATCCTTTGATAGAACTAAGAGGAGGAGGACAGGAAGAGGACATGTACATACAATACATGATGAATGCAAAGAAATTGATATACATGTACATGTGCACGTATAAGCACATGGACATGCACATTCTAAGTTCAACTGAGATAAAAAACAATAACAATAATAATAAGATAATCCAATTATCTGGACTCTTGAAAATAACAAGAAAATTAATGATGAGATTTAATACACTATAATTACATGTACATACTGTACATGTACAACACAGTCTCTCTCAAATGGGAGAGTTCCTTATCTATAGATGCATTGCTATACACTGTACTGTACACTGTACATGTAAATCATGAACCGTATTTCCTAAAATGGTATTTGGACCTCGAAAAAATTTAAAAAATAAAAAAACTTAGGCCCAGAGCGGGACTCAAACCCGTGACCTCATGTACTTGACTGCAGGAACTTAAGGCAGTATCCAAAAGGCTACTGAGTTACTTCAAGGCTAGATTTGCATATTTATACTTGAATTCTATTGCTACTCCGGCGTTTATTCACATACGGCTTCTATTTAAAGATATACGGTACATGTACATGTACATAGATATTGTTCACTACTCGCTGAATTTGATGTCCCCAT